AGCTAAAAACGCAATTTTTCGTACAATCAGGGGCCATAATTCACGAAGTTACGGTCCGATATGTGCGAATATCGAAAGGAACCAAGATCTTTGGGTTATAAACTTACATTTCAACTTTCAACAAAATCGGATAAAAATTGTGACCTCTATAGGGTCCACAACCTTGATATAACATATTCTTATGCTATTCCAGAACGAACGGCGGCCATTTTGTCTGTCAATTTTGGGCCGATTTTCACGAAATTCAAACTCAGTCGTCCTTAGGGTGTAACGGTGATATAATAATACAGTTTTTTAAATCGGATAAAAATTATGACCTCTATAGGGTCCAAAAGCTAAAAACGCGATTTTTCGTACAATCAGGGGCCATAATTCAGGAAATTACGGTCCGATATGCGCGAATATCGAAAGGAACCGAGATCTTTGGGTTATAGACTTACATTTTAAGTTTCAACAAAATCGGATAAAAATTGTGACCTCTATAGGGTCCACAACCTTGATATACCATTTTCTTACGATATTTGAGAACGAACGACGCCAATTTGTCTGTCAATTTTGGGCCGATTTTCATGAAATTCGAATTCAGTCGTCCCTAGGGTGTAACGGTGATATAATAATACGTTTTTTTAAATCGGGTTAAAATTATGACTTCTATAGGGTCCACAAGTTAAAAACGTGATTTTTCGTACAATCAGGGGTCATAATTCAGGAAGTTACGGTCCGATATGCACGAATATCGAAAGGAACCGAGATCTTTGGGTTATAAACTTACATTTCAAGTTTCAACAAAATCGGATAAAAATTGTGACCCCTATAGGGTCCACAACCTTGATATACCATATTCTTACGCTATTTGGGAACGAATGGCGGCCATTTTGTCTGTCAATTTTGGGCCGATTTTCACGAAATTCGAACTCAGTCATTCTTAGGGTGTAACGGTGATATAATAGAACGGTTTTTTAAATCGGATAAAAATTATGACTTCTATAGGGTCCACAAGCTAAAAACTCGATTTTTCGTACAATCAGGGGCCATAATTCAGGAAGTTACGGTCCGATATGCACGAATATTGAAAGGAGCCGAGATCTTTGGGTTATAAACTTATATTTCAAGTTTCAACAAAATCGGATAAAAATTGTGACCCCTATAGGGTCCACAACCTTGATATACCATATTTTTACGCTATTTGGGAACGAACGGCGGCCATTTTGTCTGTCAATTTTGGGCCGATTTTCACGAAATTTGAACTCAGTCATCCTTAGGGTGTAACGGTGATATAATAGAACGATTTTTTAAATCGGATAAAAATTGTGACCTCTATAGGGTCCACAAGCTAAAAACGTGATTTTTCGTACAATCAGGGGCCATAATCCATGAATTTTCGATCCGATACATGCCAATATCGAAAGCAGCGGAGATCTTTTGGGGATAAACCTATATTTCAAGTTTCGTCAAAATCGGATAAGAATTGTGACCTGTAGAGAGTCCACAAACAATTGTGGACGGACGGACGGACGTCCGGACGGACAGGGGCGACGGCATAATACGTCCACATGAAAATGTGGGCGTATAAAAATGCTTATCCGGACACGTGACCCTTTTAAGATTTCGGGTCAATTTTTCGTTGGGTGAACTGATAATCGATCCCCGTTCCTTTAGAGGTCTATACAGTAAATGGCTTATGTGCTGTACTTGATAACGAAAGGTAAATTTCACTTACACATTATTTTTATGAAATAAAAGTCTAGTTTTATCCAGACACCGCATAAAACAGCTTGTCACGCCGATCCCCTTTTCCAGACGAAGACTGACGGGTGTAGCACCATAGGTCTTTTGTCTGACGTGGAGAACGGGTAAGGAAACCGGTCGCCACATCCTACGTAGACCCATCCATCTTTTCTTACTACATATTTCTGTAGCCTTGTGATCGTCTAGAATTTGTCTCTAGCTGTCTTTACTTCTGCTTCACGTTGTGTATTTACTTCTTACACCAGGAATAACAATGCAACAGTTTGCTTCTACATTTTATATATATATAGCTGAATACAGGTATACAATCATAGCACAAATTACAATACTAACTAAAACCATTTCTCTACCCTAGCCAGCCTCGCGGCTGTCTAAGAACTCAGATGGTCCCTCTCTGGAATCTAATGGAAGTCTAACGAATTCTCACAAGTATGATAGTTTTGTAGCTGTGGGTTTTGGGCGTCCAATTATCTAATTGGTCAAATATCATGTAAATAAGTATAGAGATTGGTCAAACAAGCTAAATGATGCAATCGTAATTTTCCGTCACATGTTTCTCGACACAATCTATCCTTGAACTCAGACCCTCTTTCCTGTTATTCTCACGCTATTTCATAAACAGTTAATTTGCGTTTTAAATAAACTCATACCTTAATATACTGACAATAGAGAATAATTTGTAAAGATAAAAAATGTTGTTTAACCCATCTTATTTCTCTATTCCTTGTCTTTAAATTTAAAAACAATGTCGCAACGACGATAGTGCTACACGGGTTTAAATTGTTTGAGGGCGTATCACATATATTGAGTTAATTGCTCAGCCCGGAGGTTGAGGATTTTAAGGGATTTTAACACAAAATTAAGCAGTTTTATTCTCCAAGATATTATCGGGACTGAACCTTTAAAATCGGAAGACAAATATTCTCCTTAATATAACTTTGTTCTCGGCAAACTTGATTCGTGGAATAGGATAACCAAGTTTACTGTGGCTTATGTTAATATATTGGAGATTTTCAGGAATTTTGATGACAAAATTGTCCCTGTCTTCTTCATTTTTAGAAAGCCAGTGCAATAAGGAAATGTGGTTGAAATTTTCAAGACTTTTACCCTCGTTCTGGTTTGGGCTTTTCGTTTGGACATTCTTGATGTTATCATCATCTGTTAGGTAAGGGAAGATTTCAAGCAAACTACTAGTTTGGTGTCTATGATTTGTTATTTGCGAGCCAATTGTTGGTATATGTAAAGTGTATTGATGACTGGCGTAAAGATAAACGATTCCATGCATTCCGTTAAGTGATAGCAAATACCGCCTCGAATCTTAGGTTTCGGTTGAAAGAAAGGTCGAGAAATTGAAGTTTATAAAGCATACTGAAAGCAAAACTAGCAATATTTCTTATTTGACAACCACTCAACACCAGTCGCTCCAAACCAGGTACGTTGATAAAAGAATCATTTCGAATAACTGCTGTTTTACAATGGCCAGTAAAATTCAAAATTTTAAGTTTAGTAAGATTCGAAAAGCCACTACCCATCTCAATGGTAGGTAACCCATCAATCTTCAAAGTTTGAAGAGATTTCAAGTCGGAAAAGCTATCACTTGGATAACTCAAAGTAGATCCTACATTGACCTTGTTTGTGGAGATGTCAAGATTTTTGAGTTTTACAAGAGTTTGAAAAACTCCAACGGGGTAATTACTTGGTTCCATGTTTATATTATTATTGTGAAGATCCAGTGACATCAGCGTGCCCAGTCCATGGAAAGAAAATCGGTGAAGACTTTTAATACGATTGTTGGAAATATCTAAATACAACAGATTTGTTCCGTTAAATATGTAAGCTGATATATTTTCGATCAAGTTATCTTTAAGGATTAAGCAAGTTGCATTTTCTGGTATATTGGATGGTGTTTGCTTTAAGGAAAGTTCCGAACAGTCAACTATGTATTCGACTTCTTTTATCTCACACTTACATTTGTTACACAACGGTTCTTGAAATAATGCCACATCGAACACCATAATTTCACTGACAGCAAGATATAAAATTCGTCGTAGCAAACCCATTCTTCAAGAGAGAGAAAAAAATCAAAATTATCTATCACGTAGAACAGATTCAGATACAAAAAAGTAACATGATAACTTATGAACTTAATTGAAAAAGAAATGGAATTTCCCTTCACACAAGTAGACCTACTGGTTGACAGATATTATTTTTGTTTCAGTTATTTCACTTTCCTAATATAATATCCACAAGTATAGAATACACATACCGAAATGCCACCTTCTAAATATAATTATGCACTGTATGTGTCAAAACAACAAAATACGTACATATTTTATTAGTCCATAATCAGATAAGAAACCGGAATACATCCTCTTCGTGAACTTAATACGTTTCTCCCAAACATCGATATGCGTTGTTGATGTGTGAAGTGGCTCTCCTATTACCCTGAAGTGGCGGAATGGTTAGCACGTGCGCGTTGTATCATAAGGCCTGTCATTGAGTTAGCTGGCTTGGTTTGGAATCCCCGGTTGTACGTGACAAGGAGTAGGGTTGCCTGTCCAACCTTGTGGGTTTTCTCCGGGTCCTCCGGTTTCCTCCCACTGCTAAAGACCCCTACGCGCAAGCCAATAGTTGAAATAAAATTAAACCAAATGTTAGTCCCGAAATGACCTAGTCTGTATCGAGTGGACATTAAACCCATCTCTCTCTCCACCTCTGTCTGTCTCTCTCTCTCTCTCTCTCTCTCTCTCTCTCTCTCTCTCCTATTACCCTGTTACATATTGCTATGACTATTGTGTATATTGGGGGTTGGGGGATCTATTCTCATGATGGATGAATTTTGTAATGATATGGATACATTATGCTTAACTTATATATTATTCATTTATTTTCCAAAGGAGAACTGACATAATTTCGTGTGATTAATATATTTTTAACGTGCAGTCTGGCTTACAATGGGCATAAAAAAAAGACTATGAATGCGTCTTTCGTGTATTAATTTGACACAACAGCGAAATAGTCTTGAAACTAGCAGAAAAACAGAGCGATCTTAACTTTATTATAAACATTGTAAATGGTTCTATTTTATCCCTGTCTTATAAGATTTGTAGAACGGAAAAATCATATAGTGTGATCTAATATAAATAATAAACAAGTTTGTATAATATAAAGATTCATTATGTAAGATTTAGATGAAGAGCTGACCTCTTTTGCTAAAATAGTTCAAAAATAGACAATGAAAAATGAATATATTCAAACTTTCAATCCAGTTACTTTATTATGAGCGACATTATGGGTGTTTTAACAAGATATAGGTAAATGGTCTCGATTGTCAGTACCAATGCTATACTGATATAAAAATCTCGATTATTCATTTTAACGTTAAATCATTAAATAGCGGTCATCCGATAATCTAAATAGTTGATTCTGGGCTGTCATGAGAATAAGTGTCTATAATAATTTATATATTATTTGATTTTGCACATGCATCATGCGTCTTTAACGGGGCTATGCATATCAAGGGCCATACAAGAGCTCATTTCATAGTAGCGAGGAAGTATAGATTTTGGATGACGTCTATCACGGCTGATTTATACACATATAGAGATGAAAAGGTTGTTGAACAATGGTGGAGGAAATGGATACACAGAAAACGACGTTTAGTGGGAATTCCCCTCTTCTCTTTATACAATCCTCTCTTGGTAATCTTAAATAAATATTGTAGACCTATAAGAATCAAGCGTCTTTTGTCAATAAAGCCCGAAGTAGCAACGAGTGACTACAAAGAAATATGATATGTTATAGATATGCATAGTAAACAAAATTTAAAAATTGTCATAAAGCGTCTTTTGTCAATAAAGCCCGAAGTAGCAACGAGTGACTACAAAGAAATATGATATGTTATAGATATGCATAGTAAACAAAATTAAAAAATTGTCATAAAATTTGACAACGTAAAAATGTAGGTTTTAAGTGGGGGGGGGGGGTGATTATGTCCGGAAAATCTGAACATAAACATAGTTAGCAACAATCAAATAATCAAGAACTAAACGACCTACGAGTAAAGAAAAACAAGCATCATGGTATTTATTACAAAGGGTACCTGTCAAGTTTCATTTTGATTATGTTCGCTAATGAACGAGAAGACGCTCCAAAACACTGGTCGTGGCACCGGTATTTTTATTATTTATTAGTATTATTATTAGAAAGCTTTCACAAAAATGTGTTCAAAAAGCTGATCAAAATGTTCTCAATTGTGATTTAAAACTCGATAAGGAGGTAGAACTTCTGAGGGCAAACGGGAGCTTATTCCACAATTTTGGGGGCCTATACTGTAAACGATAGTTCAGAGCAAGTTTTCATTCTGACTGTTTTGAAGATAATTGAATAGTGATCATTCGATGACCCCAATGTACGGGTTTAAATAATTAAAAGAGATGATAAATATAACGTAGCCAGAATGATTCTATATTGAATTCTAAAAACAACGGGTAACCAGTGAGTCGATTTTATCGAAGTCGGGGAGGCGCCCGCCGTTTTCTATAGGTCCAGACAAATCTTAAAAGTTTTAACTTGTAAAATTTAGATGAAAAAAACATAAATGGCATGTCTATTGAAAGGTATAGTTGTTCTTTTTCTGCCTTGTTTCTTTAATATCATATCTACCGTTATTAAATGCATGTTTTACATTTACGCTTATTAGCTATTTATTATAGTATATCTGAATGAACAGGATTGTTTAGCAAATACTACACAATACAACCTATTACCAATTAAAAGCTACCAAATACCAACATACTATTATATAACTATGTATGCATTAATTATACATTGTTTATTTAATAGTATTAAAATATATACACGTGTATATTTACAACTAATAATATATATGGATTATGGATAATCACAATTATTAACTATTTCTGAACATCTAAACACACGTTGTTTGCAGTTATTAAATATTGTATATATGTTAGGGTGCCCCTCCAAAAATAAATATCTCCCAATAAGTCTTAACTTACCAGTTCACATTTATAGTCCCTAAATAAACTGTCGTGTTGTATTTAACAAGTTATAAGCATTTCAAATAATTAACAAATTAGACTGAATAAGTTGTCAAGCTGCCGCCATTAAATCCGGGCATTTGTTTTTTTAGTGCAAAACAGATTATCTGCCCTTGATATGAAAAAGTCCCTCTTAACCAGTCTACCGACCGTTCTCCGGCTGTTTGACAGGCCGGGATAATCAAGACTATTTTCTACGAAACGGTACATAAAGCTAGATCGATAAATCTAAAGAAACACGAACGTTAGGCATCTCAACGATTATTTTGAGAACCTTGTAAAAACAAAAGGAAGATATTACTAGTATACTATTCTTGCCTAACGAAGGAGCTTCGGAGATATTAATTTTACTAAACAAAAAAATGCCGCTCCTAACGGTATAGTTCATAATATGGCAAATTGAAAAACAAAACGAACATAATTTTCCAAAGCTGCTGTAAAACGAATCAGAAATATTATTGTTATTCAGAATCATTAACAATAGATTTTTATGGCTTTAATAGTCGATAGATGTATTGGAAATTCCACGTGCGATGGCTATTTAGAGCATCATTGACTGACAATACCGCCTTGTCTACGATATCACCTTAGGTGGAAGTGGACGTAAAACCACACAAGCTAAAAACGCGATTTTTCGTACAATCAGGGGTCATAGTCCAGGAAGTTACGGTCTGATATGGGCAAATAGCGAAACGAACCGAGATTTTTGGGACATAAACTATGATAAACACATATTTTAAGTTTCATCAAAATTTGATACAAATTATGACTTCTAGGGGGTTCACAACCTTTCTATTATATACTTTTTACACTTATTGCGTACAAGGAGCGACCATTTTGTCAGGCGCTAGTTTCCGTCCAATTTCCACGAAATTCGCACTCAACCGTCAGTAGGGTGTAAGTGATACATTTAAACGTTTTGTAAAATCGGATAAAAATTGTGACCTCTAGAGGGTCCACACGCTAAAAACGTGACTTTTCATACAATCATGGGCCATAATCCATGAAGTTATGGTCCGATATACGCAAATATCGAAAGGAATTAAGATCCTCGAATTATAAACATACATTTCAAGTTTCATCAAAATCGAATAAAAATTGTGACTCTTTGGGTGTCCACAAATTGGTATTACATACTGTAACACTATTTGGGTACAAGGAGCGGCCATTTTGTCCAGTAGTTTCGGACAGATTTTTACGATATTCAAACTCAACCTTCTTGAGGTGTAACGGTAATTTATTTAAACGTTTTCTTAATATTGAATACAAATTGTGAATTCTAGCGGGTCCACAAGGTCAAAACGTGATTTTTCGTACAATCAAGGGGTTATAATTCAGAAAGTTACGAAAATATATGTGCGAATATCAAAAGGGACCAAGTTTCATCGAAATCGGATCAAACCTTGATATACCATATTTTTTACACTATTTGCGTACGAGAGGAGGCCATTTTGTCCGGCAGTGTTGGTCCGATTTTCACGAAATTCGAACTTAACCGACATCACGATGATATATTCGAACGTTTTTATTAAATCAGATAATAATTATGACCTCTAGAGGGACCACAAGCTAAAAGTGCTATTTTTCGTACAATTCAGGAAGCTACGATCCAATATGCGCGAACATCGAAATGAACCAAGATCTTTCGGTTATAAACATGCATTTCAAGTTTCATCAAAATCAGATGAAAAATTGTGACCTCTAGAGTGTCCACAAACTAAAAATTCATAATCCATGAAGTCCGATACCTGTCAATATCGAAAGGAGCCGATAGCTTTGGGCGATAGACCTATATTTCAAATTTCGTCAAAAATTTTGACCTGTAGACTGTCCACAAACAAATTGCGGACGTCCGGACGGACAGGGATGACAGTATAATACTTCCATATGAAAATTTTGGGCGTATAAAATTAAAATAGTTTAACAGTCGGTGTTAGTATGTGTTGAACACCACCATGGACACCAACACAATGCAAATTATACAAGCATCCATAAACTCTCCAAATTGCCATATCAAAATGTGTGTACTTTTGCAAAAGAACAGACTTTGTGAAATTTTAATCAGCATTAATAGCTTTTGTAAGACTGTCCCAAAAGACAATATTACCCTCGGGATCATCAGTATATTCTACATAAGAATCCTTTCTCATTAGCTGAATGAGCGCGTGCGGTAAATCTTTAACGGGAATATGTTCGTAAATTATAACAATTACAACATTTCTACCAGTGCTAATACTTTCCATTAAGGCCATATTCAATTCATAGATGCACCAATAACTCTTCAGAAAATTCTTCGTCAACAGAATCAGAGTTTTCTTACTGTTTCTCACTGCGTTGGTTATATTAGCAGCAATTACCTCCCCTACCAAGAAATCACGGTGGTGAATACAGAGTTGCATCCCTTGTTGTGTTTCAAGCTTTTCAATCATGTCTGTAACGACAATCCGCCGATCTTCGTCCGCGTAGGAAACGAAAGCATTAAATTCGAAAGAATTTTCAGCTGCTCCACTAACAGCCACATATCTCCGATATTTGCTTCTTGTCAAATAATATAAATATCGAAGCTTCCAGCGGAATCTATAGAGTAAACCAACCACTAGTACAGTTAGAACTACTAAAAGACTGCTGGTTAAAACGACAACCATCACTGTCCACGAAGCGCATTGTTTTTCTAAGTTCAACACTACTTGCTCCAGGTTGTCCAAAGAGATCATTTTCCCCTGTATGTCTTCACACTTATATGCATTTCTTCGGACAAATTGCGTTGTGTTAGTCATTATCCATTTTAAGAAGCGAACGTTTTCACATGTACATTGTAGAGTCTGCCCTAACATGTTGATCGTCAGATCTTTCCCCCTTTTATGTTGCATATCACCAAATCGTCTTAAAGACGAAGGTAGGGTAGAAAAACTGTTGTTGCTAAGATCGATCAATTCCAAATCATGCATATGATCAACATCCAACGTCCATTCCTTCATATTATTGTTCGATAAATCTAAATGTTTTAGTTTTACCTGAGCATTTAGAAATTTCGGTGGAAGAACTGTGATTTTATTATCAGATATATCCAGTGTATTCAGTTTCCCAAGTGGTTGAAAGATACTTCCATTTACATCCATTTCGAAGTCAAAAGCTAGAAAATTGGAGTCGATATGAAGAGTATGAAGGTTTATCATTCCACGAAAAAAATCAAAATATATCTCGTCGCAGTAGTTGTTAGTTAGACTTAACCATTCAAGATTTTCGACACCCAATACTGGACCGTGCCATTTATTTAGAATATTTGTCGAAAGATCTAACGTTTTTACTTTGTTCTCGGCAAACTTGATTCGTGGAATAGGATAACCAAGTTTACTGTGGCTTATGTTAATATATTGGAGATTTTCAGGAAGTTTGATGACAAAATTGTCCCTGTCTTCTTCATTTTTAGAAAGCCAGTGCAATAAAGAAATGTGGTTGTAATTTTCAAGACGTTTACCCTCGTTCTGGTTTGGGTTTTCTGTTTGGACATTCTTAATATTATCATCATCTGTTAGGACATTCTTGATATTATCATCATCTGTTAGGACATTCTTGATATTATCATCATCTGTTAGGACATTCCTGATGTTATCATCATCTGTTAGGTAAGGGCAGTTTTCATGCAAGCTATTAATTTGGTGTCCATGATTTGTTATTTGCGAGCCAATTCTTGGTATATGTGAAGTGTATTGATGACTGGCGTAAAGACAAACGATTCCATGCATTCCATTAAATGATAGCAAATAAAATCCAAAAGTCGGTCGATTATCCACCATACTTAGTACTTTCAGGGTAGGTGGTACCATTGAAGGAGCTACCATATCAAAAAGTTCAATCCTGTTATGATCTAGATAAAGTTCTGTAATATTCAGATGGGTTATTCTCGACATTTGCAGGCCAGTTACTTCAACACCAACAGCAAAGGTATCTACAATAGCACTTATATTAAGTATCTGAAAGGCTGCACTATTTAAGTTAACCAGTGGCATCGTTGCGGCCTCGAATCCTAGGTTGCGGTTGAAAGAAAGGTCGAGAGATTGGAGTTTATAAAGCATGCTGAAAGCAAAACTAGCAATATTTCTTATTTGACAACCACTCAACACCAGTCGTTCCAAACCAGGTACGTTGATAAAAGAATCATTTCGAATAACTGCTGTTTTACAATGGCCAGTAAAATTCAAAATTTTAAGTTTAGTAAGATTCGAAAAGCCACTACCCATCTCAATGTTAGGTAAACCATCAATCTTCAAAATTCGAAGAGATTTCAAGTCCGAAAAGCTATCACTTGGATAACTCAAAGCAGATCCTACATTGACCTTGTTTGTGGAGATGTCAAGATTTTGGAGTTTTACAAGAGTTTGAAAAACTCCAACGGGGTAATTACTCGGTTCCATGTTTATATTATTATTCTGAAGATCCAGTGACATCAGCGTGTCCAGTCCATGGAAAGAAAATCGGTGAAGACTTTTAATACGATTGTTGGAAATATCCAGATACGAAAGACTTGTTCTGTTAAATATGTAAGCTGGTATATTTTCAATCAAGTTATCTTTAAGGATTAAACAAGTTGCATTTTCTGGTATATTGGATGGTATTTTCTTTAAGGAAAGTTCCGAACAGTCAACTGTGTATTCGACTCCTTTTATCTCACACTTACATTTGTTACACAACGGTTCTTGAAATAATGCCACATCGAACACAATAACTTCACAGACAGCAAGGTATAAAATTCGTCGTAGCAAAGCCATTCTGCAAGAGAAAAGTCAAAATCAGCCATGACATAGCACAGATTCAGATACAGAAAAATAAATCATAACTTATGAACTTAATTGAAAAAGAAAATGGAATTATCCTTCACACATGTACTGGTTGACAGATATATTATTTCTGTTTCAGTTATTGGTTATTTCATTTTCCTGTTAAAATATCCACAAGTATCTACCCACTGTTTATATAGGAAATATTTCTGGTTCTACACAGAGTTGACCACCAAATGCCATAATGAGTCTAGAATACACATACCGAAATGCCATCTTCTAAATATAATTATGCACTGTATGTGTCAAAACAGTAATATACGTACATAGTGTATTAGTTCATAATCAGATAAAAAAAAACAACGGAAGTTGAAAGTAGGGCTTTATGCGTTGGATATATTACTTAGAACCTGATATACCTTATTCTACGGAAGAACATTAGGGTCAAGCAAATGAAAAACATTAGATATTCTGATTGATATCATTTATTGAGGATTCATTAATTTCATGTTCTCCTTAAAGCCACTCAACGCTATTTACATTTTTCAGAAAATGATTATATAGAAAATGGTTAAAACACTAAAAAATAAAAAGTTCTTGTATATCAAAAAGTCACTTAAAAACACAGTTTTAAAATCGTTGTCGTGAGAAGAGAGGGCGGGTCATCTTCTCACTTTGTCAAAATGAAAACAGGTTAAAACAGGAGGTCAAGCTGTTTGATTCCATCGCTGCGAATTGGAAAAACCCTGTGGAAAAAAGAATCTCCTGTTTAATGTGGAAAAGCGAAGTTCTCGCAGTAAAAACCACATAGCTGGACCCGTGGAGTATTTACATATAAAAATGTTCGTGCAGTTCTTTCCATATAATTAAAAGTTAGTTAAAAGTCCTTTAACACAGCGGTGGATTGTATGACCGAATGGTTAGCACGTGCGCGCTGTATTATAAGGTATGTCATTTAGTCAACTGGCGTGGTTTCGATTCCCCGGTTGTATGTGACAAGGAGTAGGGTGGCCTGTCCAACCTCGTGGGTTTTCTCCGGGTCCTCCGGTTTCCTCCCAATGCTAAAGACCCCTACGCGCAAGCGAATTATTGAAATAAAATTGAACCATATGTTAGTCCCGGAATGACGTAGTTTGTGTCGAGTGGACGTTAAACCCCATTTCTCTCTTTCTCTTTCTCCCCCTTTGACACAGATCACAACTTCGGTGTTTAAAATCATTTATTGTCCGCAGTCCATTAAAATTTTTCTTTGTGTGTGACTTTCCCAGAAAAAAGTTACCTGGAAAGGGAAAGAAGAGTCAGCAGCAACACATAACAGAACAAGTTAAACATTTATAAGAATAATACATTTCACTAGATTTTTAAATGCAAATTATATAGATATGTATGCACTGTCATTGTTAATAAAGGGTTGTGTAGGTCCCTATTCCTTTTGTCATTATTATTCGTTGATATACTGTTATATTGAATCAGACAGTAGACTGGATCGCCATACTGTCCTACAACAATAGTCCCTTCCTGTGTAACTATATATTTATTTCCCTACCTGAACGTTAATTTATTCTGATAATTTATTATATGAATAACGAAAATGTAGAACGGAAAAATCATATAGTGTGATCTAATATAAATAGTAAACAAGTGTGTATAATTTAAAGATTCGTTATGTAAGATTTAGATAAAGAGCTGACCCCTTTTGCTATAATAGTTCAAATATAGATAATGATAAATGAATATAATAAAAATTTCAGTCAAGTTACCTTATTATGAACGACTTTATGGGTAAAGTAAATAGTCTCGATTGTCCAGTACTATTGCTACGGATATAAAAGATAGATCTGTTATCCGATAATCAAAAGAGTTGATTATGGGCTTGTCATGTGAATAGGTGTCTATAATAATAATTTATATATGATTTGGAGTCAGAAAAAGACCAACAATACACTGTTAAAAATGGGTGTAATTAAAAACTATAAGCAGTGTTAATTAAGTGTAAACTTTATTCCACAGATAGTGTTTTTTTTAATGTAATACATTTCTAAGGATAACCATCTAAAAGAACTACACCTAACAAGTGTAACCGATATTCATAACTACTGAACACCTGAATAGGTGTTATTGTGGGGTGCTTTGGATAAGCTACACCACTAGCAGTGTTATACTGGATTTACACCAAAAGGTGTAACTATTATTGAGGAATAAATCATAGAACAGTGTTAATTTTACAGCGTTTATTGGGTTGCAAAAGTGTAATCAAACAGAACTCCAGGATAGGTGTAATTGTAGCCGCTAAAGGGTGTTTGGGATGAGCTACCCCTCTACAAGCGTTTTATTGCATTTACACCAACAGGTGTAATTATTTTAGGGAAACATTCCTCCGAATAAGTTGTCATCCTTAGAAATGTATTACATTAAAAAAAACACTATCTGTGGAATAAAGTTTACACTTAATTAACACTGCTTATAGTTTTTAATTACACCCATTTTTAACAGTGTATTGTTGGTCTTTTTCTGACTCCAAATCATATATAAATTATTATTATAGACACCTATTCACATGACAAGCCCATAATCAACTCTTTTGATTATCGGATAACAGATCTATCTTTTATATCCGTAGCAATAGTACTGGACAATCGAGACTATTTACTTTACCCATAAAGTCGTTCATAATAAGGTAACTTGACTGAAATTTTTATTATATTCATTTATCATTATCTATATTTGAACTATTATAGCAAAAGGGGTCAGCTCTTTATCTAAATCTTACATAACGAATCTTTAAATTATACACACTTGTTTACTATTTATATTAGATCACACTATATGATTTTTCCGTTCTACATTTTCGTTATTCATATAATAAATTATCAGAATAAATTAACGTTCAGGTAGGGAAATAAATATATAGTTACACAGGAAGGGACTATTGTTGTAGGACAGTATGGCGATCCAGTCTACTGTCTGATTCAATATAACAGTATATCAACGAATAATTTTAAGTATGGATAGCAATTAGCAACTTCCGGAGTCGGAATTTCTGAGATGTTGTTCGGTATTTCGTCACATTCAATTAAATTGGTAATGTTCAGTGTCTTTTTATCAAGCACAGACTGTATGATCACATTACTTGTCCTTCTCCCAGACATAGTCACGATACCTGAGCATGAAGAAAGTGAATACTCAGTCGGTAAGCTGGATACCCCTAAACGATCGAACAGTTCAGTAGATGCCAAAGATCTGTTACTTTGGTCATCTTACATCACATATATTCTGATAGCCATTTCTGGGTGGCCGTCTGGATAAATGTCGACCAAGAAGTTCTTCCCACATGATCGGCCACTAAACTCACCACATAATTTTGTACATTTCGTATCCACTGATTCCTTTGTTGGGGAACTCTCCCCGCCGTTCTGTTCCACAGGTTTGAATTGATTCGGATGCATTACAGTAACATGATAATTGCTGCCACAAACATCACATTTTACATTTTCTCTACAGTCCCTGATATAATGTGAAAATTTGCAACATCGATAACAAATGCGCTTCTCTCTTAGAAACGCCTTGCGTTCCTCACAAGACATTGCTATGAAATTTCTACAGTTAGTCAGCAGATGGCCAGCTCTGTGTATGGGACAACGAGTTTCATTAGCAGATGTTACTGAATTTGTATTTGTCGCAGCTTCATAGATTTTACGATTGAATGTCGGACTAGTTGCATGTACATTGGTTT